CCCCAAAACCCCAAAACCCCAAAACCCCAAAACCCCAAAACCCCGGATGGGAGATTTAGTGTTGAAAAGTTAATTTACAGAGGTTTTGAGGAAGTGAAGGGAGGGGGTTCTGGGGTGGGTTGGGGGAGTAGGGGCACGTGGTGCATTTTTGGGGGATTATATGGTCTTAGAGGGTGTATTAGAGCTGTTTATGAGGTTTTGTAGAATACAAAAAAATATTTTTTCAGAATGTATAAACAAACTAAGCTTACTAACTAAAGAAACTTCAACAAAGACCCAAATCACGATAATTTTTCAGAAACAGGATTGCTATTTTTATTCTTATTAGAAAATTAATAAAGATATTATCCTTTCTAAAAAACCCATCTGTATTAATCTTCTTCACTTTTCCTCTCTCCATCATTGGCTTGTTTAACTATTCCTTCAACTTTTTGATCACCATTAAGGTTTGCCATCTCCAGATCTCCCTTTCTTTCTGGTTCATCTTGTCTCTTATGAACATCATTCTCTTTGTCTTCTTGTACGCCATCATAGGCAGGCTTCATCATGTTATAGTGCATCAGGTACACATCTTGTCTTGCTCCCGGCAAGTACATATTCTGAGGCTGCTGTCCTAGCTCTGTTGGGGCTTGATAGCCTAAAAGAAAGTGTAAGGGATTCATGACTACCATGTGCGTTAGAACTTGGTCCTGGGTAATTGTTGGCTGTTGAAAGTGGTTCAGGTATCTGATTTGCTTTAATTTCACCTCTCTGTTGTCCAGTTTGTTTACTGATTGTTCATCACGTGTATAATTCAGAGATACCGAACATTATGAAAAGAACGAAGAAGATGAAAGGAGAGAACATTAAGAAGATGAAAACAACGATAAATGTGATTGGATGGAGGAAGCTCATGAATTTGTCCCTGTCAATTCCCTCTGAGTCCAATTTATTGTCATAACGGAAGTAAGATCTCTTCTCTTCCTTGTTATCTTCTTGTCTCTTCTTTAGAGGATAAAGGCGGAAGCAGAAGGTAATCATCCATACTAAGACGCCATACCAGATCCAGAAGGCTAGGTCTTGGCCCTCATCCTTATCTAAGAGTATTGGAACAACTATCAAACTTCCCAATACAGGAATTGTAGCAAGTTCAATACACAAGCAGCTCCTCAGAGCTCCCTCCATTTCTCCCTGAGCATCCACCCAAGCTTTGCAAAAAGGATTTAGCACAAGAGGAGTGCCTATAAAGATTATATGGAGAAGGCAAAAGAAGCATCTTCATCAACCAATGAGTTTATTTAGCATTGATGGTTGTCATGACGAAGCATCCAAAGGCTCCGCATAGTTGATATCAGTGAACTCCCAGATAGATATATAACATGGTGCCTTTCACAATAGTTAACCTATAGGCCAGGAGGGCGAATGCAATAATAAAGGAAATTAGATATAGCACCCACAAGTACTTTTCCATGTTAGGAATCTGACTAGGAGAGAGCACAAATCGGCAAGGTGTTTCAGTTGTTTCATTTAGTTTATGTTGATTTCAATCTCTTGTTTTTATACTGGGGTTTTGGGGTTTTGGGGTTTTGGGGTTTGGGG